ATCCGCAGCGATCACGGACATGGGGTTTCCCTAGTGGTTGTCCGAGAGTGTGTTCCTGAGCGTTTATTTCTGGTATTTGACTTTGGCTTCATTTGACTTCCCTGTATTCTGGTATCCCTGACTTCTGGCTTTCCATTATCGTTGTGTCTCATTCTGTACCCCGACCTCGGCAAATATCCTGACTATTCTTTTGTGTGTTAATTCCGGCTATTCTAAGGCCCGGTAATACGTTGCCTTTTAATCCTGAGGTGTGACACAATTCTACGTGCTGGATCAATTAGTAATCCTGACATTACGACATAGCCATAGATCCTGTAGAATTGTGTCAGCACATAACAGCTGGCGAGAGAAAGCTAGAGGAGAATGATCACCATATGGATCAATTTGCCCAGGCTTTCAGTACGCTGCTTACTAGGACAGCGCATCTTCAGCCTGAGGCCTCTCCGACTATGTCACCTCTGTCTAATGTACCTCCACCTATAGTACAGAAGGCACCTACTATCTCCATATCACCTCCCCTGCATTTTGATGGTAATATTCAAGAACTCCCCGGGTATGTGGACGATGGATTGAACATAATTCCAAGTGGGCTCCCAGCCCAGAAGAAGATCAGTAAGTTGAGACAGCACTCAGGGTCAGGACATCTTCATCTTCATCTTGACTGGTGATACAATGTCAAAACTGCTTGCACAGCGCATTAAATCTTGCATAGAAGGATTCTCTCCATTCATGACACTCTGGGTCTGCTTGTTGGAGTTAGAGCTCCAGCAAGGCTGCCATTTGAGACACACTACAAGGTCTTTGAACTATCAAGTATTTGTTCTTGTTAGGGAAGTATTACAGGCGTCACCACCGGGGACAGAGATAACCTCCACTGGTCCAATGGGGGGTAACAGGGCTTTGTGAAGGCCTCAGTGATTTGCTCACCCTGGCCTTGGAGATTGGCCACTTCTCCCAGCCAGTCACAATAGGCCACAGGATTGGGCGAGGTAAGTACCCAATAAGTCAAGGCAATCCAGGCATGTAATGTTGCAGGCTGCAGCCGGTACACAATGGTTTCTGAGGAAAGTTGAAGCTATTAAACAATGCTCAAATGTGGAGGAGCTATAGAAAAACATGTCTAGTCATCTTGGGTGTTAGGCCATGCACCTTTTGGAGGCCTATTAAGTCTCATTATAATATTTTTGGATAGGCTTTTCAAATAATTTCATATGTTTGGATACATGATTTAATATTTTGAGATTTTTTTTTAATATTTCAAATTTAAAAAAAATATTTTTAAGACTATCCAACAATATTAAATCAATGCCTTTGTTTGTATGTAAATTTATATACCGTTGCTTAAATTTAAATTCTCAAGTTTTTTGCTTTTTATTATTAAATCTGTCTTTTCTCCCCATTTCACTCATTCGTATTCGTATAAGTTCTGATTTCTTGTTTTCCTACAAGATTGCAACAGTGCTAGACAAACTACAGCCTTCATGAATGTTAGGAATGTACTGATATTTGAATGCACATAATCACATGTATCTTTCATGCTATTTTCCCAGACATAACATTAGTTTAAGGATAACTTCATATTCACTAAAGCACGTAGACTGTGATTCTGACTGTTAATATAACAGTGCCAGAGGGGTTGGCAATGTATTTTACTTACTTTGGTATTCAGCAGTTAAAGCAGTATTTCTCAAATACAAAGCCAAAAGAAAGTGTGAAAGAAATAGGCACCCACTAGAGCACGGTTTCCCAATTCATTTTTTCCTTGGAACCCTTTGACATGGTATAGCAAAACTTTGGAACTCCCCTAAAAAATGTGTGCCGTAGAGTAGCGCAGCGCAAACCTTATAATGCGCAGAGTGTAATGTTCTCTTTTGATGGCAAATTCAGTTTATATCTGGTTTAATTCTGGACAATTGTATTCGCATGTCTGCAGTTGCGTCAAGTTGTTTCCGATACTTTGTTTTTGTTGCAGAGTAGGAGAAACTTCTTTACATTTTTGGCTTAGTTGACTGTCAGAAGTTATATCGATCAGATTCTCAAGATCCACATCAGAAAAATTGACTGGCTTGTCTTTTATGAATGGATTTCAAACCCACTCATTATTATTTTGATTCAAGAATGGAAAATACTGATTAATAGATGTGATTAAATGGCAAAGATGATCTACAATTTCACTGCAAATTTCCTCTTCAAGTTCAAATTCTGATTCTTCAAGAAAATCCTTAAGTGTTGGCAAAGAGTTACAATTATTTTGCTCAAAAGATGAGGTCCAAAACTGCAGCTTACGAGACAGGGAAAATATTTCATCTCTGGAAATATGCAAAAAACTCTTCATGCAATGCAAACATTCTAACAAGGACTTTACCTGGTGATAGCCAACGGACTTCTGAATGCAAGAGCAGAGCAGAGTGGTGACTACCCATATCTTCTTCACATATTATGTTAAATAGTCGTGACTGTAATGGTCGGCTTTTTATAAAATTAATAATCTGGACCGATTCGTCTAGCACAGTTTTAAGTGATATTGAGATACTTTTAGCTACCAGTGCATGTCTGTGAAGAACACAATGAGAACTGGTGCTGTTTTTTGCTACATTTCCTATTCGTGTCACAGCGCCTGCCACTTTCTCAACCATTGCTTTGACACCATCACTGCAGACATCTACACATTGTCCCAATTTATACTGTGTGTGTTCATGAACGTCTGGATACAGTTAAAGATGTTCTCACCAGTAGTATGAGTTTTCAAAGTTTCACACAGTAGCAAGTCTTCTTCAATCATTTTGTCAAAATTATCTAACAAAATTATATCTAACAAAAACCAACAAAATTGAAAGTCCTGCAGCCTCTGTGGACTCATCTAATTGCAGTGAGTACCCTTCACATTGATGCAGTCAAGAAATTAGTTCAGTATGAATCATGAATACGGCACAAAACTGTGTTGTTGGAAAGTGGCACAGCTTCAAATTTTTTACTCAACTACTCACTTAAAATACATGACACTATTTCTTTTGCACATGGTTTTATTAGTGATTCCCCAATTGTGTTTGGTTCTCCTGCAAGTGATATGTGGTAACTCGCTCTGTAAGAAGTCTCTGTGGCTTTTGCATTAGCATTTTGAAATTTTTTGCTCATAAATTGTTTACTCTTCTGATACTCCTTTAGCTTTTGCTTTAAAAAGTCAATGTCTTTATCTTTGTACTGTGCGTGGTTTCGCTCGAAATGACAATGTAATTTAGCAGGTATTAATGAACTGTTTAGCAATAGTTTATTGCAAAGTACGCATTGTGCTTCAGGACAATCTTCATTTCTGGCACTTGTGAATCCAAATGACAAGTAGCTATCATCATATTTTCTTTTCTTTGTTTGAGAAGAATATTGGCTAGCATTTTGTGCTTTTCTTTTTTTCTTTGACTTGTCCCTTGTCTCTGCTATTTGAGGAACAGTATGTACAACTATTTCAGGCATGTTTTCTGGATTTTTAGTTGTATTTTCTTTCTCAGTTTCTATAAGTGCCAAACAAGTAGAAGTAGTAATACTTTTTCTCTGAAGAGTTCCCTGCTTTAACCAGCTTTCCAAATTCATAGTTGTTTATTGGTAAAAAAAAAAAAAAAACACTTTGAAAAATGCAGATCTCACAACCTGACTGAAAAGGATGCTGATTGTGATAATGCTCTTAGATAGAATGGAACATAAGCAGGATTTTTGAGTTAGACTTGGAGCAAAAAGATTTGAACACGTTGAAAACTACAGTTAACAGTTTTTTGTCCCTCACAGAGTCTTTTAATGCCCCTGACAGAGCCTTTTAATATCCCTAGCAGAGAATTTCAATGTCCCTGACAGAGAATCTCAATGTCCCTTACAGAGTCTTTTAATGTCCCTTACAGAGTCCCGCCCAGCCATCAGCTAGCCAGCCCAGGGGACAGCCAGCCCGCCCAGCAGTCAGCCATTTTCTATCACTCGTGGTAGAGGAGTGATAGAGAGTGGAGCTGATCGTTAAAGCTCTGTTATTGTCAGAGAAAGCTCTGTTAGGAAGGGACATAAATAGCTCTGTTAGGTAGGGACACTGAAAGACTCTGTGAGGGGTATTGAAAGACTCGCTGAGGGGCATTGAAAGACTCTGTCTGTGAAACTTAACCAAAAGCTTCATAAATACAGAGGGAGGAATATTTCTCCTTTCAACCCTCTCTCACAATTACCTGAGGGTTGGTTATGTCGTCCTCATGACCCTGGCTTCTGAACCCATGGTTGAACAGATAATGCAGGACAGGCTGTGGGAAAGCCAATATTTTCTGACAAAAAAAAACATGGAGTGACATGTGCCCAAATGTTTACAGTTATTTGTTCATTTATTCTAATTCACCTCAAAACTTTAGTTACACATAAGAAAAAGCAGCGACTATTTTTTTCTCACAAGGAGATTGATCTTTGGCAAATTTAAGATTTGGTGGAATTTAAGCAAAGTTCCATTTCAGTTGCTAAGCGAATTTACCTACAATTCACAGTCCAATGAATCCAACAGAAGGGAAAAATGCAGACTTCATTGACAGAGGAGAAAAAAATGGAGGCCCCAGGAATTAAAGATAATACATATAAATAAAAGCAAGTGACAAAGACGGGAGAATAATCATTAAGATTCAGGGTACATGTGGAAAGGAAAACCGAAAGAAAAAAAAAACATGACAGAGTCACTTTAAACCCTTCCCGACCGCTGACGTATCAGATACGTCCGACAAAAAACGGTCCTCAAGGACCTGATAGGTCCTGGGGTAATTAGAGCTCTGGAAGCGATCAAGATCGCTTCCAGCAGCTCTAATGGTATTACAGCGATGCCTCAATGTTGAGACATCGCTGTAATACCCCCTCACTGCTGGGATTACCGGATGATCCCCCCCCTCGGAGTGATCGCTTCCGGGTTGCTCCACATGGAGCCCGACAGATGGACAGAGCATCGGGGTCGAGGCACTCAGTATATATACAAAAAATAATAATTAAATACAAAATTTACCCTCCCACTCCCATGTACTTACCAATCGCTGCGTTCCGTAATCGGTCTTCTTCTTTGGGGGGACTCTCTAGACCAGGGGTCCTCGAACTCCGGCCCCCCAGATGTTGCTAAACTACAAGTCCCATGATTCTTTGAATTAGATAGATAGGCAGATAATCATGGGAGTTGTAGTTCAGCAACATCTGGGGAGCAGGAGTTTGAGGACCCCTGCTCTAGACTGAGTCCAGAGAGTCCGCCCTCTCCAATTTAGGACCCCGAGGGGCCATGTGACCGCACTAAAAGAGCCCCTATAGATGTCCATAGTGCTGCCAGCAGGGGAACTGCCTGAACCGACAGGCAGTCCCTCTGCTGGTGAAAAAGTAAAAATAAAGTTTTAAAAGTAAAAATAAAATAAAAATATATTTAATACATTTTTTTTAAAAGTGTATATGTATATATGAGGTATATATATATACATATATTATATCTATATATAATACGTGTATATATACATATATAATGTCATACTAAGTATATTTTTTATTAATATATACATATATTTTTATAAAAATACACTTAGAGTAAATTACACACGTATATATATATATAATATATATAATAACTATATATATATATATATTGTATCTATTATAAAAATAAATAATAATTAAAAATAAACTAAAAATATAATTTTTTTAAAATATATATATATATATATATATATAATTTCATTCTAACTGTATTTTGATATTAATATATATATGTTTATATCAAAATACACTTACACAAAAAAACAGTCGTTATAGGATCACTATAGTGTCAGGAAAACAAACTCATTTTCCTGACACACTCAGGGCCCCTTCACACTGGGCTGACGGGTTAAAACCTCTTTAGCCACTTACTGTAATCCAGCGCCGGGCTCCCTCGGCGCTCGTGACCTTTCCTCCCTCGCTGTCGTCAGCTTCTGAGTGGAGCGGAATGCGCATGCGGGGCAAGAGCCGCGTGCGTATTCAAACAGTCCATAGGAAAGCATTTCTCAATGCTTTCCTATGGACGTTCTGCACGCTGAACGCGATTTTTGCATCCAGCGTCGCAGAAGCGCCTCTAGCAGCCACTAGATGCTGAATTAACCCTGCAATGTAAACATGTAATGTAAGTTTTCTCTGAAAAGGCAGTGTTTGCATGAAAATGCCTGAATGGAGCTATTATACTCACCAGAACAACAACGTTAAAGGATCACTATAGTGTCTGGAAAACAAACTAATTTTCCTGACACTATATAACCCTTAGGTCCCCCCCACCCTCAGGGCCCCCCTCCCTTGGCGCTGAAGGGGTTAAAACCCCTTCAGTTACTAACTTTAATCCAGCGTCGGGCTCCCTCGGCGCTGGTGAGCTCTCCTCCCCCAGGTCCATAAAACATAAACATAGAAGGGTTAATCCAGCCTCTAGCGGCTGTCTTCTTGACAGCCGCTAGAGGCGCTTCCGCAACGCTCAATGCGAAAATCGCATTGAGCACGCAGAATGTCCATACGAAAGCATTGAGTAATTCTGACGAAGTGCCCTTTGCCACTTGTGCCTGGAGAGGACTACTTGCCAGCCTCCTGCCATGTGACTACGGCCCCTGGGATGTATTGCCCTTTAAGAATGTATTTGGACAGAATGGATTTTTATTGTGCTGCTGCTGGTCCTTTAACTCCTAGCAAAAGGATCTGTACTTTTAAACTTGCACTTCGGATGCAGCCGAAGTGGCCGCCATTCAAAAAACCGAACACGTGGCGGCTGCCATTTTAATTCATTCGAACGTGATCAGCGGTGTGTGCCGTCAAATTCATGGAACTGAAATCAGCTACAAAATGGCACGAACACTGCTGAAGTTTTACCTTCCCTGGAACTAATGCATTCGACAATTCGAACGCTGTTCAACTATTCGAACGCTGTTCGACAGTTCATTCGACAATTCGAATGGTTGTCATTCGTCTGAAACAGAACTACTTGACCCTTTCTTGAAGTCTTGGCTCATGCTTGGGGGATGGGATAACTACACTCTGGGAATTGCTATATTCACACAATACTCTCCAGAGTAAGCTCTTGTAAGAGCTGTTCTTGTTCCTGCTACACTCTCTGGGAGAAGAGAGGCCTGCCCACTGGAAGCTGGATCCTGGCCTTGGATCCAGGGTGGGTGAAAGACGGCGAGACCCCAGCGCAGCTGCATTGCTGGAAGTGGGGTCTGCAGTGCTGATGGTGTCGGCTGGATTGCTTGGAGTCCTCAGCAAGCACTAGGAGCATCGATTGGCGGAGGTACTCGGTCGGACTTCCAGCGTTCCGTCACAGTAATGCTTTTCTATGGGCACATTGAATGCGCGCTCCGCTCTGGCTGCGCATGCACATTCGGCTCAACTTGGGAGTTGACGTCGAAGGGGGAGGAGAGGTAACCAGTGCCGAGGGAGCCCGGCACTGGATTAAGGTAAGTGGCTGAAGTGGTTTTAACCCTTTCAGCCCAGCGGGAGGGGGGCCCTGAGGGTGGTAGGGTCCTTAGGACTATATAGTGCCAGGAAAACAAGTTTGTTTTCAAAACTATGTTCTAAGAAATTATTATATCACGTTTGTTTTGCTAGGACATTTTTGCCAAAACATGTTTTTCTTTGTGATTCATGAAAAGAAAGAAGGTGAACTAACTAAACTAATTGTTTAAATATCAGATCAAATCTGGACAATCACAGCTATTTACAAACACTGCAAAACAATTCTCCCAAAACCGAACCCCTGACGGCATTCTCTGTTCTATGACTCATTCCCTCAGGAATCC